ATATAAGGTTGCCCGGAAGAAGGCAAAAAATGCAGGAATTCTTTTATTGCTTCCAAGGTAACATTATCGAATGTCTAGGTTGAACGATAACTATCACTAAAGCATGAAGTTGATTATATGTGAGGGTCGTAGAAAGTGAAACGGTAACGTTGTTGACTGGGTGAATTTCATTCGAATTCAATCGGTTCCATGCATCCACAAGTGACGATCACTTTGCCGATCTGTAACGAAAACGTTTTCAATATTCGCTGACTATGAGTATGATCAATTGTGAAACTGTCAGTGAAAGAGCATAAAATCGATGTTATTATGTTGAGTAATGGATGATTGGATTTGAGAATGTTTTAGTGGGTATTGGAGATGAATGTGAAAAGGTTATCGAATTTGTCATCAAATTTGAATTTTCCTCCCGCAAAATTGATCTTGCGGAACATTCGGTTGTTTTATCGCTTGATGTCGACAAAAGTAGACATACAATAACGGTTTCGAGTGGAAATTTTTAGGCGAGTTTATCGATGCAAAGCGATAAAACTCACCTCCGCAATTTCCTTGGCGCTGCTTTGAGCGAAATGTTTAAAGTCATCACATTTGTGGACTGAATCCACAAATGTGAATTGCACATTTAGGAAGTCATTATGGGAACTGAAAATTCATGTGTTCAATACAACGGATGCGTAGGTATATTCTGACCAATACAGAAGAGAAACAATTGATTTCTGATCTGACAAGATTTGATTCTGAACTCTTTTTTATTCTCCGTATTCGACAAATTTCCATACGATTATCGTTCATTTTAGGTTAACTCATTCAAACATATCGAACAAATCCCTCAACAAACAGACTCCAATGGATCAATCAAAATTCAAATAATCAACTAACGTTTCAGTCACATCAAATTCACCATAATTTTCAGTTTGAACATTCTTATGCGCAATCAATTTCAGAATCTGTAATTATCATAATTTGCACTCCTCACGCTTCAAATTCGGGCTCATCGCACTAGTAAACTTGACAATTTCAGCTATGAATTGTTACTGATTGCATGGTGATCAAAATAAAAAGTTCGTTAAATGTAGTGCAATGCAGAAGAAAAGAAATGTTTTACTTTGGCACAAAGAACAGCTGATTGTAATGAATTTCATAAAACACTTCTGCAATACCTTTGCACGGATCATGCGAGCTGTATTCTTATTGCTTTCGGGTGTACCGAATGGTAGTTTTGTGACCAGTTCAACTATGAGCGCATCGGGATTGCAACCAACTGATCGCTTTGGTTTAGGCGACTAAATAAAATAAATAAAATCACGAAAGAGGAGAAATACTCAATGAGGAGAAGTATTTTCATTCCATGAAGCGGAGTGTTCAGTCGTATTCTCGGTATTCATTCGATGATTAAAATTGTTATAAATTGTGATAAATTCTAAATTATCTAATCAACGCTAACCATCGAAAATTTCAAACTTACGACTACATTCTATATATTAATTCTATACGATCTCCTCCTATCTCTGCTTATCATATGTTAAAATGACTTTAATCAGCACTATTTCGTTTGGCGTTAAGCAAAGTTTCAGGTGCGAAATCGAGGCTATATGAGTACTCATTTTTTTATGCATCAAATTCCACCTTCCTTTGCATCGAGCATGGCTGATAAGCGCAAATTGTAAAATCATTTAACACATCTGAACTATTCCCATTATACTATTGCCTAGTCTGTGTTAGACGATTTTGGTTGGTATTTCAAAAAATTGCGTTTTTTTGTCAGGCATGTCTAAAACTCGCTGCAAAGAAGCGACCGTCAGTTGAAACGCATAGCAAATCATTGCATACATCATCCGGCAGGCATTCATATCGCGTAAATATGTTTGCGTGAGGATCGGGAAAAGGATTTGCTGGGTAATCGGATTCTTGAATATATGAATTTATGTAAATGTTGCCTGATCTGATTTGCCATTAGTATCAAATCGTAAATGGTACTAAAGGAGGAGGAATATGTTCAATTAAGTAGCAGATTTCATATACTTGTTGAAACAAAAATGGTTGTGAATGATAAATTTTCTTTTAATCGCTAATCATCAAAAAGTTCTAACGTATGACAGGCGTTACACACATTTATTCTTCACGATCTTCACCTACCTGTGCACCTCATCTGCTACAATGACCTTAATTAGCAATACCTCATGCAGCGATAAGCAAAGTTTTTTGTGCGAAAATAAAGGCTGCATGAACACTCGCTGTATGAACATTCATCAAATACCGACGTTTCTATCAAGGATAACGGATTACCGCAATGGT